ACTAGGAGCAAGGATGCTACTAGGGGCTCCTGGCCTTACTACTAGGAACAAGGACGCTACTAGGGGCTCCTGGCCTTACTACTAGGAACAAGGACGCTACTAGGGGCTCCTGGCATCGCTACTAGGAGCAAGGACGCTGCAAGAACGTCCTCGTTTTCTTCACTCTCAGACGTCTCGGATTCATCTGCCGCCATGGTTGGAGCGCGCCGCACCGCGCGCTTGTTCCAGATGTTTCTTTGGGCAAGATGTCTGAATCGGCTCGGGTTTGAGAGGGTTCCCCATCACTGAGTTCGGAGGATGTTGAAAACACTAAGCAATGCTAAGCAACCATATAGCTCAATACATCTCAATAAGACCAATTCGCTGAAAGAAAGAGACAAAATCTGCTCCCGCATGCCTCGCATAGCGTTTTTCCTCCCAAGGGCCGCCGGGTTTTGTCATGGCTTGAGACGGAGATCGGCAGCTGTCGCATTCCCAACCCTAAGGCCTATACCCTACGGCCTTTCCTTCCTTCCTCCACCCTATTTGCGATGGCCTCCACCCTAATAGTGATGGCCTCCAAGCCATAAGTAATTAGAGGGAAGAAAGGGAGGCCATCACTAGTAGGTCGACAATGTCTGACACATCATTTGCATTACAAAGTGTAGACTCAGAGTCGTCGCAAAGTGTGTCGCGGAGTTGTTTTCCATCTCATGTCTCAGCCCACAAATCTGGAGAGGAAGCCTGAGTATTCCTTCTTGCCTCACCGGCATGCAACAATGCGAGATGCAAAGATGTTCAATTCAAATGACTGGCAGCGCTCGCCTTTGGTAGTATTCACCTGGCGACACAAACTGAAATCGCCTGACGTTTCCTGGATTTCTCTCTCTCTCTCTCACAGCTGATGCCACTCGGTCTAGTAGTTTTGGCATGTTTGGGCATACTCTGGCGTCAGGTTGGCAAGCACGCCTTGCACAAAGCCCTGTACAGTGCCCTGTACAACGAACTCAAACTCTACCAGGCCTAGTTCCTAGTTGATCAAGATTCTGTACCATTCTTGACCTCTTTCCTGACGCCTCTGGCGAAAGGCCCTTCAAGGCCTCTTCTCACTCTATATGCGAGAACGTTGAGAAAGCATGATCTCATGATCTCAATTATGATTCGATGGAAAGGGGACCGGATTTGCTGAAAAGCTGCTGAGACGAAGCAGAAATAGAGAGAGAGAGGATTCGTCCGTCTCTCTCCGTCGTGAGGATTCGACACAGATCGGACCGAGCTCCGTCTCTCTCCGTCGTGAGGATGCTCACGTCGCACGACACGTCACGTGCTTCGTCGCACCGAGATCGTGCTTCTAGCTGCACACGCCACCAGCTGGGACGCGGCACCAGTCTCGAACATCACCAGCTGCACCGCTCCACTGCATCTCAATCTCTGCATCCTTTTTCGTCTTCTCCGCCACTCCGGGTTGCACCGGTGGCATCAAGCGGAATAGGATCACACGCATTCGGCATTTCGTCTCATCGATCATCAACTGTTCGACTTTGGTTTGCTTGGCTTTCTGCTTTGCTTCGTGTCCTTCTGATCGGTTTTCTCTTGGTCGTCTGCGTCTCTTCCCTTCACGCCCCATTTCTCGTAGGCCTCAGCCAGATGAGCAACAGGACGGTGGGACCACAAGACGATCTGTTCTGCTGTTCGGCTCCTGCTTTCTGGTGTTTGCGTTCAAAACCACCTAATTCTTTACCCTTTTCTGGCCTTATGAAGTGCCCGAATCCACCGGTGTCACCTCCCTTTTCTCTCGCATTTAACTTTTCTCATGTCATGTTCTTTTTGCCAATGCGCTTTTAGGTTGGAGGCCATGGCTCTTCCCACTAGGAAAACTAGAAGGGGACACTGGGACACATGTGTTTTTTCTTTTTGCTATTAGGGTGGAATTCCATCACTATTAGTAACAAGGTGCATCGCTACTAGTAGCAAGGACGCTACTAGGCTACTAGGAGCAAGGACGCTACTAGTAGCTCCTGGCCTTACTACTAGGAGCAAGAAAGCTAGTAGGAACAAGTGCATCGCTTCTAGTAACAAGTGCCTTACTAGTAGTAACAAGGTTCGCTATTAGAATTAAGCGAACCTTGTTACTACTAGCGATGCACTTGTTCCTAGCAGCTTCTCTGTTCGTCTCGTTCCTTCGCGCCACGGCACGCGCCAGGTCACCACCTTCACGCGAAGTCGCTCGTCGCACGTGGGACACCAAGCGCCACCTGGGAGGGAAGAAAACGGCAAACGCGCTTTGCGTTTTGGTCGTTGGTCAGGAGAAAGTGGAAAAACAAGGAAAAAGTGGAAGGAAATACGAAAGCAAAGCTACCAAACACCGCCAAAAGCAAACCGTGAAGATTTCAGATGTAAGCGAACGTGTACAAAGAGACCAAAGAATACCAGAATTGCAGAAGATTTAGCACCGGGTGAAGTAGTCAAATTACAGGTGTGACATGTCCTGGTGTCCAGTACGGGACAAATTGCAACAGAAGTGTGGAGGAACTTGTAACTACAGTGGAACTGTAGAAGGACTAAACAAGGAAAACCTACTAGCGATGGCCTCCCTTGTAGCGATGGAAAGGGAAACTGCAACACATCTGTTCACGCCTTTCTTTGTTCTGCTGCAGCTCCGGACGAAGGAAGCAATGCATTGCAAGTGGAAGCCTCAAAGCAAGACAGAAAGTCAGAAGATTGATATTCGATTCTTTGACAATTTTTGTTCTCATATGTTTACTGCATTTGGCCAGACCACAGTGGCCACAATTGGCCAGTGGCACCCAGCTCTCATCCAAGATCGCCGGGGAAATGGGCTTCACCTCTTTCCAAAAAACGTCAAAGGGACAGAGACAAAAGTCATTACTAGTAGTAAGGCCAGGAGCCCCTAGTAGCTTCTTGTTACTACTAGTAAGGCACTTGTTACTAGAAGCGATGCACTTGTTCCTAGTAGCGTCCTGTTCGTAAGGAAATGCAAAACGCGGCACGATGGGAACGAAAATGCCGTTGAGGCCTTACAGTCTTCCCAATTTACGCTACACGACTCTAGACATGGCCTCCAACCGACTAGCGAATGGAGATGGTCCAAAAACAGGTTTGGTTTTGACTTTGCCTTGAACTCTGTCGCACTTCGAAGAGCTTCGTTGCACAGGAGGCACAAACCGCAGAGGTCGTCGGTGTCGTCGATGTCCTGGAGATTAAAAACATGCGAGGACAAAACTCATCAACAAAAACGTGAGCCTAATTAGGGAAGCACGGAAGAAAGAAACAAACCATGTCATGAATGAAAGATAGAGAAGGGGAAGAAAGAACGGACAGAACAGGAATGAAAGACATATGGTCTTGAGAAAGGCCGAACAAAGAAAAGAAAGGCAACATGCTGGGCGTCGCTGGTGTTCTGCTCACCAAATACAGATGTGTTTTGCTTTCCAGCTCAACTTGTTGTCCAGTGAAGAAGCAAAGGTTGCCCGAGGGTGGTTGCAAGGTCATCTGATAGCGGCGCTAGTATGGCCAGGAGCCCCTAGTAGCGTGCTTGCTCCTGGTAGTACGGCCAGGAGCCCCTAGCAGCTTCTTGTTCCTAGTAGCGCTAGTAATTACCTAGTAGAGGCTGTAAAGTTGTTGGCTTGTATTTCGCCGGCAAATGGCATTCTCAATGGACGGCCTCGCAGCTCCCCTTGGTAAAGCATCATCTGGCTGCTATATTCAGGTTGCGTATTGTGGATTCAGTTCATTCGGGTCAAAACTAATCACAAAAGTCCCTTCCGCGGAATTCTATGGGCTATTCAAATACATTCTTTGATTGTTCTTGCGATGCAAATGCATGTGTAGCTGTTGAACAGATTCTTGGGAGTGAGGGCCCCTGTCAGAATGACCTTCACTTTAAGCAGAATAACCTGTTACTAGTAGCGATGCAATTGTTACTAGCGATGCACCTGTTACTACTAGCAAAGGAATCTACTAAGCAGAATAACAGTGAGAAAGAATTCTCCCAGACGCCAAGATTCGATCCTGTCCCTCACTTGTTTCAAGCTTTGATGCGAATCGCCTTTCAACTGCTAGTTCTAAATCCAGAAAACGTTCATTTCTTGCGGCTAATGTGGCTTATTTGTCTGTCTGACTCAAATGTGTCCAGGTTCACATCACTTGTCTCTCACGCCGTGACCATGAACACAAGAGCGGCCTCCAACCGATGGTGAAAACAGTCGGTCTCAAGACATTTCCACCTTCCAGCGTTCTCTTCTATTTGAGAAGCCTGGCTGTTCTCAGAACGGTTCTCGTTGGTTTGGTTCTCCGGGCCTCTCTGAGTTCAATTCTGGAGCACGGTAAAATCAAACCTCCAAAGGGCACCGAAAGAAAAGGGCAACTGATGTGGAAAAAAAAGTAGAGAGGAAAAGAAATGAGGAGAAAACCAACCCCCCAAAAAGAAATAGGAGAACCTCTCCTCAGCATTTCCAAATTCGAACGTCAGAAAAAAAGGCGTCGCTGTCCTTGTGCGCCGTGCCCTCCTTGTCCGCCTTGTCTTGATCTTCTTCATTTCCTTCGTTGACCTAATAGCAAAAGGAACCTAGTAGCGACGCCCTCCACCCTAATAGGAATGGCCTCCAACCTAAGAGCGATGGCCTCTAACCTACTAGCGATGGCCTCATCGGTTTTCTTCGACATCTTCTCCATGGCCTTCGTCTCCGATCTCGCCTGAACCATCCCACAATTGAAGCGCTCTCGCCTCAAAAAGATCGAAGATTCAAGTGCCACGCTAGTAGTAACAGGTGCCTTACTAGTAGTAACAATGTTTGCTATTAGAAACAAGTGCCTTACTACTAGTAACAAGTTACGAATTTAATTAGAATTACATTTAAATAGCCTCAAAAATCTGTTTGGGCAAAGAAAAGACATCTTTAAGGGAAAAGAAACGACAAGCAGAATAGAACATGCAAAAAAGTCTTCACTGGATGGTTTCAAGCCATGCAGGCCCTAAATCGCAGGTTGAACCACTGCTTCTGAGGTCCGGACGTTTTTTTGGAACTGATGTCCAAAAATGGCTTCAACAACATCCCAGTCACCTGGGAGCTTTGACGACCTACGCCTCGGTCCGTACTGGCAGCCTCCACCCTACTAGAGATGGTCCTCAGTCCACAGCTACATTCGCATCAATTTCTCCAGGAGAACCGACCAGCTTCGATGGCCAGCAGTTCCCAGATTTGCAGGGCAGAGGAAAAAAATCGAATTGGCGGCCGTCAGATCAATGATGCAA